AAAGTTAGGTTTCATAATAACCCAATAGGATAATTTCAAAAGCCTCTCCTAAGATTTCTGAAAATTTCACTCACCTCCTTTTAAATTTGAATAATTACACTAATTTCTCTTCATGTAGTAAAATGACTATAACATCCTTCACTTATAAATCATTCCTACGAAGAAAAAAATCTTACAACTACAACTAATCTTTCATTCTAAAGTAATGGCTGCTATACAAAATAAACTTTTATTCTCTCTCTTCGACTCTTTCTCCTACCTTTTTTCTCCTGAATCTCATAATCCACTATTTTTTGTGCAACTACCATCTACACAACCATCTAATACATCTCAAATCCTCATTCTTATGAAAATAGACCCTCTTTTTTTTTTCCTTTTTTTGTAAGTATTATTAAATTGAAATTGTCAAATGACAAGTCATCGGATTAGATTTGTTACCAAACTAAATGAAGGTGAAAAGGATGGCAGTGATACAGAGTAGAGATAAGAAAATAAAAGTGATAACTTAAAAGGAAATATAGATTGAGGAAGATTACATTATTATGCCAATTATGTAAAAAAAAGTTTGGTATATAAAAACTACAATCATATTTGCCTAGAGACATGAGATATGGTTTCTAGTGTTGTTGTTGGTTACTCTATATTGCTATTCTTGGTGGGTTAGATTATTTTAGCATTAACAAGACTGTAGCCATTTTGGATTGGATTTAGATAGTGATATTAGTCAATTTAAACACTGAATTTAAGGTGCGTTTAATAAAACTGAAGTTTGAAATCTAAAATTTGAAGCCTGAATCCATTAAGTTATTGAATTGTTAAGTATTAAATCTAATATATTTGAGTGCAAATCACATTTAGTGATAAGTAAATAGTTTATCACTTAATTTTGGAAGCAAATTTTATCTAAAAAATTCAATGCCACTTAATTAATTCATTTTTTGTTATCAAACGGTCTGAATATATTAAAATATGAATTTATTAAATTTAAGTGTTAAATTAGGTTATAAAATAAGGTCTTAGGCAAAAGATAAATGAAGCTAAAGATTAGCTTGATTGCAAACTTTAATTGTCATAGTTAATTTGCATGGAAAGCTTTAGGCGCAATGGTAGGCTGTCAAAATTGTGAGAATATCGGGATTAACTTAAAATTGTTTATTGAGTTTGTCAGAGTGGTAATTATATCATTTACAATAGTTGCAACGTCAAATAAATTCATTAGTGAGTTTTTCTCCCTTCTAAGTAATAAAGGGGTATTTTAGAATTTTTTAGAACAAATTTAGCATACTAAGTTTATATTGTTACTGACATAAGCATAGAAGAAGTAGGCGTAACCTTTTAAGTTGGAGGGGAGCTTCCTTGCAATAATCAGAAACCTCCCCCGAGAGAGCGGTGGAGGTTTCTGAACTTATCCCTAGCCTAATTTCTCTTTAGCAATTTTATTTTGAAGTAAACATGGTTTTCTTAAAAGTTATGCGTGATCTTAAAGCTTGTACAAATGTTTTTTGTAAAAACAAGACCTTCCTATTAAAAGATCATTCTATACTACACATAAACATTTTGACCAACTCTCAAGATTGATAACAAACCCAATAAGTTTTAACACGTCACACAACCTTTTCTTGCAAAATCACTCGGTAACAATAAAACAAGTTGAAATGCAAGATCTTAAGAAATATCAGACAAAGATGAAAGTTATCAAACAAATTTGTAGTTACAGTTTCCAAATTGTCAAAAGACAAGTGCTATTTTGAATTGTTCTTTCCAATAACAAATGGTTAGCGCAGCGTAGAAGTTAGGGGTAATTGCAGAAACCTACCTTGAGGTTTTTTGACAATTGCATTCACCTTCCCTAAGCTTTGAAAAATAACACTAACCTCCCCTAACATGAATTTGGGACCTATAATTGACATACGATAGGATGAATTTACTTCTATATCATAAGAGTTTAAGGTTGTTAGTAAACAAATTTGGGGCAAAAAAAAATTAAAGCAATAAACAAGTCTAAGATAGCTAATTAAACAACATTAACAATTATTTTTTGCTTTATTAAGCACTATACGTGCACTTACAAAATGGCACCAATTTGTGATTGACAACATTTGAAAGAACAATGTAAATCATATATAATCTACATAGAAGAGAAGCAGAAGCAAGAAAAATGTAGGAGAAATAAATCTCCAGACGAGGCTTCTTAAAAGAATATGTTTCGGTGGTTTTGTTTGAACTTATTTCATCTTATGCATTCATGAAACAAAAGGAGAAAGACAATAGAAATCAAGGCAAAATTTGAGAATTTTTCTATTAAAAATCAGTGGCAATGAGAAAATAATAGGTAAGCAATCTTTGTTGTGTTAGTTATAGTATGATGAAATTGTTGTGTCCATCATGAAAAGATATAACTATGTATAAAATATGGTAAATAGTGTGAAATCAATATACTATAGGGCATGACAATAAGTTCTCTTGTTCTGCCCGAAGGTGAATTTTCTTACTTGATCAATAATCTCTTTACATGCTTTAGAATCTCAAATTTCTAAACATATGTTTGTTGCTTCTTGTAGATTTTACTGCTGCCGTTGTCCTCTTTACACATATATTCTCTAAGTTTCACTAATTGTTTTCATTTCTTAATGTTTTTCATTTTTTTTTACTAATACAACCTCACAAGAGGCAAAAAAGGTACAAATGGAACAAAATTATTATCTTACTTCTCAAAAGACTCTTTTAATGGCACTTTCTCTAACATGGGTTGAAGTTGCTATTAAAATCTTAAATTTAGAGGAGATTAGTACTATTTTTCAAACCTCAAAGGAAGTGAGTGCAGTTGTTAAAAACCTTAGGGGAGGTTTCTATAATTATCCCTAGAAGTTATACTATCTATGGTTAATTACATTAACCCCCCCTAAAAGTTGGGAACTTTCACTTTGCCCTCTCTTAACCCAGAAGAGGGCCATTTTAGCCCTAGGCCATGAGCCAAATATGTTCCCTAGTAAATTCACTACACATAACCATCTGAAATGACCAAATAAACCTTCAAAAACCTAGTGTTCCTGATCTTATTTGACCCTATGTTAGAAAGAACCTGACATGCATATGCCATCTTAGTAGGGGAAAAGGAAGCCAAATTTCATTAGAAGTTATTTTTATAAAAGGAAGAACAAAAACACATTTTTGGAAACATTGAATTTTCATTCATGATTTTTTTTCACATTTATTTATTAGCAAAAACAAAATTAAAAATTTTCAATGAAAATTTTCTTCCAAAAATAACTAATTTTTACTTTTCAAAGTTTCATTGTAATCAAACGAAAAAGTAACATACCAAAATAACCTAAAAAGGTAGAACAACTTGAATGCAAATTTTACCATTCCAACTTGTCTGTTGAGAGGATTTGGTATAGCATCTAAAATTGAGAATTCATGAATTAGAGATCATCGGTTCAATTCCCCCTTTACTTTCTTCACTTCTCAATTACCCATATCCTTTTGGGAAAAAAAATAAAAACATAAACTTTCCTGGCCGTTAGTTTATCTTTTGTCCATTCAAAAGCAATTTGAATCTTCATCAACTATGGACAAAGTGCCAATTGCTTGGAAATGATGGGGCAAAGTGAAAGAGCCCTAACTTTTAAGGGGCATATTTCAATTATTCATATTATCTGCTACTACATATGAAGCAATTACTCTAGCGCTTTATTTGATTTTGATTGTCAAATATTGTTAGGAGTAGCCAAGAGATGCATTAAATAACCTACCTATCCCAGCTGTGCTTTACTGTATTTTCAGTGTCTTCATGTCATCATCTCTGATATGAATTGCAAATGAAAATACGGTCTTAGTAAAAACCATACTTTTTGATGTTTGGATTTGCTAATACTATAACCTGCTTTGAACCTTCACGTATACCATCTATGGCTTTCTAATGCCATTAAATGTTAGATAGACAAGCTAGTAAAGATAAGTAAAGAATGCAAATTTAAAACAAGAAGCAAAGCTTCAGAAGGGGGTATAAATTTCTCATTCACTTGTAGAGGTTCGCAATACTATTTTCTTTCACTGTACTGTTTAAGAATTTAGAACTTGGAATATGGCTGATGCCCTGCACAAAACATATGAAAAATAAACTGCATCATCAAACTAACATAATAGGCAAATCATGCATTGACACTGGAGCACTGCAATGCAGTAGGTCATTGCTTCACTTCAGATCTTTGCTGCATGATACAGTGAGCCTCTAAAGTTATCAGCTACAAATTCAGTACAACCATCTCATTATTTCACCGTACTGGAATTTGAGGGGAACTGTAGAATCTAATTCTTTTTTGAAAATTTTAACATAGCTAATCAACATGTGATATGTCGGTGGTATTCCTTGATCACAAGATAATTACTCTGTTAGATTACGCATAAGGTAAGGAGAGGAAAAAAAGGCCATATGCAGATAATGATGAACCATAAGACTGGATTACCTGGGATGCCTGAATTATGTTAGCGTCATTCCAGAGTTGATAGGTTCTCTCCCTTGGCAACCCCCGCCCCCCTGGGGGAAGATGCAATAAATAAAAAGGAACCACTTGGATGACCAAATAGAGGAAAAGATTAAGGCCTAGAAACATCAAATAAGCAGCAGCTTATAACTCCTGAGTTCTACTGGGAAACTTTTGTTGAGTTCTGGCTAGAAAATGAAACTGATGATTGGATTTCCAAATGGCTGTCGTGCATCTTTCCTTCTTTGTGCCCTGCTACTCACGAGTCATGAGAGCTTTAAGCTACTACTGCTAAAATTTGCTTGGTTTAAATTCATTGTGCATCTTATAAACGAAGAGCATGCACTAATTCCTGCTTCCATTACTCAATTCTATTACTGTTGTTCCTGCTAATCTCCTTACCCTGCAATATCCTCTACAGTAGCCTCTTGGTTTAGGCATCTATATTCATTCTACACTGTTCGCCCTTCACTTTTACAACAATAAAACATTTCTAATATGGTTCATTTACAGCATGAAGTCAGTGATTGAACGATATAACAAAGTGAAAGAGGAGCATCACCAATTGGCCAATCCGAGTTCTGAAGTCAAGGTACAATCCAGGACTTAACTTTCTAGTAAGTTGCAAAGCATAAATGTTTGATTTAACATTTTTCAAGCAAATGGTGACATATTAAACAAAGGAAAAAGGACAAATTTGAAATAATGGAAGAGAAAAAGCTCCTAGGCATGACATTAAGCGCTTTCAGTATAATCCTACACACAGATAAATAACATGAAAATTGTTAAAATGATGTAATATACTGGACTGGCCAAAATGGAGAAAAGTTTGACCATAAACACATCATCTCATAATAGGTTTCACAAATGCAGAACTCCATGCTGTACTACATCATAACTAAGAGTTCAATGGCTTCCTAGTTACAGATATTCAAAGAAGGCTCAGATTCTAGCTTCAGAGCAGTTGGATTTTGTTTTTATCAATCGAAGGAGAAGAAATGGAATGACTGAAAAACATACAAAATCTAGACAACAAATAGTACCATAAGTAACGAGTTAGTTTGCAGTATTGATAGATATAGACCCATTAAGGCACAGCTCATTGGTTATATGCACAGAAACCGTCTGCTTTATGCTTTAGAGTCTCCAAAATGTTGTTCTCTGCACCTGCAGTGTCTAGGGTAATTATTCTACGTCACTTAACATCCCCTGGGCTTTCTAAAGAAGGAAAAAGCAAGATGATCTGTTTGGAGTAGGATGAGAAAATTAAACAATCAACTCTGCCTTCGTAAGAGTTGGATTTCAGGGCAATAAATTTCAGTTTGGAATCTGCCATAGGCCATCTACTTTTGGGTTAGTTGTTGACCATCTCAATAACTTGGATTGAGGAAGCCCCTCTAACAGGGCAGAGATATGAGGGTAAGCAAGAGCATAAGGCCCAATGTGACAAAGCATGGCCTTTGTTGTAACAATATCTAGCCGCAAGATCTGACATACTCAATGTCAGATATGCATATTTTAATGATGTCTGAAAACATCTCAGATGAATGATGATTCAAAAGAACCAATAAAGACTTGCAACTAAATGGTGCACTCAAAAAGATGAGGGGTATGTCATACTGGTACTTTGAGGATGCTTCCATTTACCCCTTTTTAAAATCATTTTTAAGTCTTGAAAGGCGGAGCAATTTCAAAGAACAAACAAGGTAGACAACAAGTCAAAGATGGAAATGAAATATGGTTGCAAAAGGAGATAAGAAGTAAAGATGCATCATTAAACACCATGTGAAGCACTACCATGAGGACATTAGGCATTCAAGTTTTGGTAGCAGAACAGGAGAAATTCAGTTCTCACTGTTGGGTAGTACCAGAAGGGTGTAAAATGAGAAAACAGTGATTTAAGGACTATTCTATATTTTGGGGATAAAAACTTCCCAAATTAGTAGTTGCTTCTTTTATCCTGGGCTGTGGTTCCTCAGTGCCTCTTCAAGCTACAAGGATTCACTCTCAAAAGAAGAGAGGAAAAAAGGGGAGAGAGAGCAGCACAACAAGTGCTAATTGACTCATCCTGCTGTAAGGAAAGGAGAGACCATATTTAATAATACTTGGTTGACAATATTTTAGACGTGAAAGTTTTTGGTTCTTGGCTGGTAACATGGATCTAACACTGTTTCAAAAGAATGCCTAATGTAGAGAGGAACCAGAAAAAACTTTGTTGGCATGATAGTCCAACAATCACAATCTCCACCATATCAGAAACAGTTAAACTAATTGCTAGACCCTTTCTGTGGAAGCCAAACCAAGAATATCACATTATAAATGTGATGTTAATTAGACTTGTTTGGGCTTCCAAAATTGGATCAAAGAAAGCACAGAAATTCCCAATGACCAATCCTACAGACCTTTAATTCCTTTCTCAATCTTAAACTCATTCTTAGATCCATTATTATGCTGATAACCTGATTCCAGCATGAATTTCGACTTCAGCAAGTGTGACTTGTAATCCAAACTCTACAAACAACTTGGGGGTAAATTCACTACTTGGTGAAAATCAAGAGCCGTCCAGCATTGGCAAATAACAAACTTTGGAATCTAGGTTACTCCCGGTAGTAATGGCACAGGTATAAGCCTTTAAAGTCCTCCACTGAGAAAAATCAATACGGAATGTAACTTATCCACTCATTCACTCTGATGCAATTCAGCTAAAGAAAAAGTAAATAAAATATACTTCTCCAAACTATATGGACAAATGCAACCAAAAGTAAAGATTGAAAATGAGGGTTCAACAGGAGAAATATTCATATTACAAAATCCTCCTCAACCAGACACTTCAAAAGGTCATGCTACCATACAGTAACAGGTCACTTTATTGGAAAGTTCACCTTTTGATCTTCTTCTGTCATTAAACTACTCAATGAAACAAGGAGATATGTAACCGTACGTTCAACTATAGGTAAGTAAGTTGATTATTGATTATACCAGGTACAATCTATTACCAACCAAAAGGAAGCCTTCATGTATTCTAAAAACAGGGAAAAAGCCTTTGTAGCCAAAGCAGGTCAAACATTCAAGTAACAAGCCCTTTATCCTAAATGTCATTCTACTGTAACATCTGAACTGTAGAGCTTGCAAAATCTCCTTAAAAACCGAATAACACTATTTTGATGTTGGGAGTTCAAGCTTTTCAAGAAGAAGCATGGTCAGAATGTCTCCTGTAAATTGAGGACTTTATCTTCCAACTGCAAAGTTTTGCCTTAAGTTCCATGAAATAGTAGCAGAGCTCCAGGTAACCAAGTTAGAATCAACTCTTGGTGCAGACTAACTCCTGAAAGGTGAATCAGAGTTCAAAGAATAAGCACCATCTTCAAAAGGTGTTAAATGCAGATGGATTAAATATCAGTCACAGGTTTTAGATGTTCTAGTCTCTTTGTGAAGTACAAAACAATCACTCAGGAAAATGATAAGTTAGAGAAAAAATTCTTCCAGCTGTTCTAGTTATTCTAATGTCTTCTGATCCACTCCAATCTCTTAAACTATGATTTACTATTGCAGAAATCAAAAGGCTGGTCAGAAAGTTATTGTATGATAATTAAAATGTAGCTGCAGAGGAGTTGTAACTTCCATTAAGAGATAGTTCGTTTTGACAGATCAAGTATCGATATACTCCATGTGCACAAGGAGCTCTGGAATGGCTGATAGCCTGATACTGAGATTCTGGTAAGATTTATCCTAGAGCCCACTAAGAAGGATGATTGTTTTTGGATTTCCACCTATAAAGTACTCAAAGATCTTGAGTAGAACCTAGAAATTCTCTTCCAAATTCATCCATGACCCTCTTATCATCAGCTTCCTTTGCAAGGTTCACAATGTTGGGTATTCCATCAAATAATTCTATCCACATAATTCAAAAAGAACAAAAATCAAACTCTTCCAGCTTCACCTGTCTTGATACTTTAAGCTACGCTTTGATTGCAAAAAGAAGAGGAACACTCCATTTTCTTTAACTAATGAAAAAATTTACATCATCTCATTCCCTTTTCTAGTTGATGATAAAGAGTATCCCAATTCAGTATGTCAATCTTGATTCAACAATGATCAAGCTAACCCAGGACTGCTAAACCTTCAACCACATTGCACAAGTTACTTGAATCCCATTCTTTTTGTACAAGAGGACTAACAAGGACTGCAGAACATCATAGCCAACAATTATTCCAATGTTAAACTTCACAGATAATACTGGAAACCATGTCGTATTCTTTGGTTATACTAGAGAAGTGTCATGTTACCAAAAGGATAAATCCAAATGGTTATTCCTTAACAGAAATTCTACCCTAAATCTTGGTCTGTAAGCCCTCATATGACCTTGAATTATAGAGGTTGTGTCAGAAAGAGTGATACCAATACCGCAACTAAGAGGAGGATATGAACTTGTGGAATGTTATCCATCAGATGCTTGAGGACACAGAATATGCCTTAAAACCCAAAGCACTATCTAAAACATGCCACCAAATCTAGCTCAAAATTTAGCAATGCTTCCATACTAATTTGTTCTCTACGTATGCAGAGAAGAAAAGGGCTAGTTGTCTGGTATGTTTGTTGCTTTCTCAAGCAAGAAAGTGCTTATGAATCATTCAAACTCCCAACCTCATTTCTTACCAACCAACCATGAAATAGGACAAAGAAAGAATAAATCCTTTCCCTTCATCAAATTATTTGGAGGGAAGGGGGTTGGAGAGGGGAAGCGGAATATCTTCAACTGGAATATGCCCAATTGGGTGCAGACAAGGACAACGCATCCTATTCATCCTACAGCATCTAGATATCATTTATAGACAAACTTCTAATTTTATATTTTTCTTGTAACCTGTAAACAACTGTCAACTTTGAACCATGGTTAGAAATTAGAAACTCCATCATTCACCACATAAAGGCATCACTCCTAAGGAAGCTCACTAGAACAAATCTAAACTTGTCAAGACACTTGAATATGTTCAGAAGTACTGCCCATGATCGACCAGTATTTCATCTGGAAGAAAGATGAAATATTTGCAAGTTTGGAAAATTCCTAGCAATTTCAATAGTATTTCTTTCTCACTTAATTTTGTGTCAATGCAAAGAAGACATACAATTTCAGCCGAAGACCTTGATTGACAAATGTCAATAGGAATAAATGTGGCTTAACTTAATAGACATGAATTGACAGAAGCGCCATGAGGCACCTCACAGTGGTGCTGTAAAGCGTCAGACAACATTTTGGGAAGGGAAGCCTAAACTGAAGATCTTAAAGACTTTTCTAAAGCCACAAATAAATGGACCATCTGTTCAGTTTTCAACTGTTTGGTCCTTGTAAACATCAGAATTAATTATCTCATCGTTGATATGGAACACAAGCTAATTTTAATTACTTGAAATATTTGGATTACTCAATTATATTATCTCAATACCAAAAAATCTATGTTTCTTCTATATGACCATCGCCCTACTAGACCAAACCGAAAATTGCATTCTCGCGAGCAAGTTCTATTTACCTTATTCATCTTTACCATTCTGCTGAAATGAAAAGAGTATAATTTTTAGGCATAAAGTAGTAGAGTTTTCAGGAACACTTACAAGCCAAAATGAAGAGCATCTATATTAGAAAGGATGCACACAGGGATCTGCAATGGCATTTTGAAACACCTACATTGAAGAATCCTTAACTATCAGCAAATTCTGGAGCAAGTTTACCAATAGATGCCATGATAAGGCAAGACGGGCCGAACAATCAAACCTTGACAGCTGAATACCTGTTAAAACCCTAGCAAAATCATTGAATCTCAGAAAATATCAATCATACCAAAGTTTGGTAAATACATCACCTATATCTCATCATCTTGAAGTTCATTAAATCGCACTTTGATATTTAGTAGTCAATACCCATGATATCACGAAGTGGAATAGGAAGAAATTGTAGGGAAGAAGAATAAAGCTAGAGCACAAAACAAATTTTCCACACAATTTCCAAAGTCGTCATTATGCAAGATCTTGTAATGCAACAAAATATTGTTAAAACCCCTCCAAATTCAAATGATTACAAACAATAGGCTAGCAATTGTTCTCAGCAACCTACACGAAGATACATAAACTCCAAAAACCCTCAATATACATTTTAGACTAGCAAAATTAAATAAAATTATATTTGGTTGCACTCTTACCCTTTTAATCCAAGAATAAAGAGATAAAAGGCCCCACATTTCAGCTGAAATTACTCTTTAAAGCTCTCTCTCTATATAGGAGAAAGCGCTCTCCCTATATAGGAGAAAGTAAAAAATGTGAATTTGTAGACTGCTACTGCTATTATATCTACTCATTTTCATTAACCTAAAATTTCCATTTTGTGAGTCGTGGAGACCTTTTCTGCAAATGAAGAAGTAAAAGGAAAGTTAGATGGAGACCCTTTCTTTTGCACATCTGCCAAAAAGCCCAGAGTCTGATAAACTGCATTTCACCTCATCCCAAAGGAACATGGTTAAAGATAATGGAAGCCATTCTTTCAAGCATAACATATGTAATATCCGCACCAGACATAGGATTCTACCTTCAAGACCCTAAAACAACATCCTACGCTTTCTTTTAGACATCCGACCATGCAAAAGCAATCATATCCATGCCATAAATGGCTGACTGCAAGATGTGTCTAGTGAAGTTAACATGGTCCAGTAAATGATAAAGATAAAAAAACCAATTCCAACACAATTACTACATTCTCTTCATCTTAACGCACTAGATGCCAGCTTAAGAAGAATTATGTGTATGCTGCATCTTGATAGTTCTTCCACAACAGTATATTTACCATTTATTAGTTTTCAACAGCATATAAGCCATAAATTGCTGTGAGAAAAAAGGAATTCTAGTTTGGATTGTTTGAAAGCTCTCTCTGAACGCATGTCATTTTCTGGGTTATTGTACTGGTACTTGTGTGCTAAATTCAAATTTAAATTGATCACAAAAACAAATAACAAAATTACAGCAAAAGGTTACAAGCTCGTATTTGTGTATTGTGTAACTGATAGCTTGAAATACCTATGATGTAAAACAAAGAAATACAACACTAATCCTGCTGTGGCATTTTACAGTTTTGGCAGAGGGAAGTGGCAATGCTCAGGCAACAACTGCAGAACTTGCAAGAGAATCATCGGTATATCTTTTGTCCTTAGACATGAATTTAAACTTGAAAATTACTACAAATTTGTGGGACATCATCCTTTGCTTAATATATTGAAATTGCAAAAATAAAATCTATCTTTTTGCTCAAGTAAAATCCCCACAAATGATTCATGTCTTTTTCTTTCTGAAATTTTCACTTTTATCCTTGCCAACTGCCATTTGCATCCCTTTGCTGAAATATTCATTTAAAAGTAAAGACAGAAAAAGGTTACTGACTCCTAAATTGTAATTCACCAGGAAGAATCTAGATGTCAACAAGAGCAAAACAAGTATTGAATTTCTTTGACATCATTTTGCACACACGCTACTTCTGTCTGAATATGTGTGTGTGTGTGTGTGTTCTAACTCATCCCTGGCAAGTGTTGAGAGTCAACGTTCAAGTCCACAATATACTCAACATGAAGACATTCTAGAAGTTTAAAATACTATGATTTGATCTATGATTTGATCTTGTTATCTAGCTCACAAAATGTCAAAGATGAAAATCATCAATAAGCATACAACCAGAGTGGATAAGCTGTTGCCATTCAGGTCTCTGGGTCTTTAGCAGAAAATAGCTTTTCTTCAAAAGGAATTTCTATTCTTCCTACAGCACCTCATTGTGATGCAGACAAAACGTGAAGAAAATAGCCAATTAATTGGGCTAACGAATATCTTTTACATACCATTTAACATTCTTGTAGAATATCTGTTGAGTAAATGTTGTAGCAGTATAGCAGAACTGTCAACCACTGAACCACTTATTCTTCCTCTAAAGTACATGGTGTTCATAGTTGTCAACAGGTATCTTGGAAGGAAAACATCTAGTCACTGTATTATGAGTGACCAACTAGTATTTATAAGAGTACAAATCTAACAAACTATTTACAAGAATACCCTTACTAATTTATTATCTACAAGGATACTTATATTTTCTTAACACTCCCCCTCAAGTTGGAGCATATATATCATAAGCACCCAACTTGTTACAAATGTATTTCACCCTAGAACCCCCTAAACTCTTGGTAAACACATCAGCCAATTGATCTACAGACGGTACATGAGATGTCTTGATGACCCCGTCAAGCAATTTCTCTCGAATGAAATGACAATCAACTTCAATATGTTTTGTCCTTTCATGAAACACTGGATTAGACGCAATATGAACAGCCGCTTGATTATCACACACTAAATTCATAGGTTGTTTATGCTCAAACCCAAGTTCCAGTAACATGCTCTTCAACCAAACCAACTCACACACAGTGTGAGCCATAGCGCGATATTCAGATTCTGCACTTGATCTGGATACAACTGTTTGCTTCTTACTCTTCCACGACACTAAATTACCACCAACAAACACACAATATCCTGTAGTCGATCTTCGATCTGAGGCAGAACCAGCCCAATCTGCATCACTATATCCTTCAATATCAGTGTGTCCATGATTTTGATATAGCAACCCTTTTCCAGGAGCACTCTTAAGATACCTGAGAATCCGTATAACAGCATCCCAATGACTAGTACGAGGGGTATCAAGAAATTGACTCACAACACTCACTGCAAACGAAATGTCAGGTCTCGTTACAGTGAGATAATTTAATTTACCCACAAGTCTTCGATATTGCTTAGGATCATCAAGTAATACACCTTGATCTCCAGCTAATTTCACATTGGGATCCATAGGAGTATCCACAGGTCGGCAACCTAACATCCCAACTTCACTCAACATATCGGGTACATATTTTCTTTGACATAAATAAATCCCATATTTAGATCGAGCTACCTCAATACCCAGAAAATACTGTAGATGACCTAAATCCTTTGTCTGAAAGTTTGCCTGCAGATTGGATTTAAGTTTCTGGATCCCCACAACATCATTACCTGTAATCACAATGTCATCCACATAAACAACCAATAAAATTTTACCAGCATTAGAATGCCGATAAAATACAGAGTAATCTACTCCACATCTTGTCAGACCGAACTCCATGACAACACTACTAAACCGGCCAAACCAAGCCCTCGGAGACTGTTTCAATCCATATAAGGATTTTTTCAAACGACAAACCAACCGCGAATTCTCCCCCTGAACAACAAATCCAGGAGGTTGTTCCATATATACCTCTTCTTCCAAATCGCCATGCAGAAATGCATTTTTCACATCCAATTGATGCAATGGCCAATTATAAGTTGCTGCCAAAGAGATAAGAAGACGAACAGAGGTAATCTTTGCAACAGGAGAAAATGTTTCTAAGTAGTCTACTCCATACACCTGAGTAAATCCTCTAGCTACCAGACGAGCCTTCAATCTATCAATAGAACCATTAGGCTGCACTTTTATAGTGTACACCCATTTACAACCAACAACAGACTTACCTGAAGGACGAGGGACAAGATCCCAAGTACCATTTTGTTCCAAAGCAGACATCTCTTCTTGCATAGCTAATCTCCAACCAGGATGATTAAGAGCATAGGTAATAGACTTAGGAATGGAAATAGAATCAAGGGAAGCAACAAAAGAAGAATATGACATAGAGAGACGAGAATAAGAAATAAAATTAGAAATAGGATGGGAAGTACAATGTCTCTTACCTTTGCGTAAAGCAATAGGAAGATCTAACTCAGAAGAGGGCGTCATACCTGGATTTGAAAATTGAGAGTTAATTGGTGAAGTGCGTGGCATATCAGAAACTTTCTCAACCATGAAACGACGAGAGTAAACTTGAAGATGAGGACGAGATAATCGAGCTATGGAATCTGGGGGACTAGATAACTCAGGTAATAAAGGGGAAGGGACTGGCAAAACAGGAGAGGAAAAAGAGGGACACTGGTCTAACTCACAAGACATACTTTGTTTGATAAAATATGGAGTAGATTCAAAGAAAGTAACATCAGCACAAGTAAAAAATCGATTTAAAACTGGACTGTAACATCTATACCCTTTTTGCGCTCGTGCGTATCCTAAGAAAATACACTTAATAGCACGAGAATCTAATTTATCCACCCCGGGAGCAAGCTGATGAACAAAGCACACACATCCAAAAATACGAGGAGGCAATTTAAACACAGGTTCATGAGGAAAAAGAATGGAGTGAGGTAATTGACCTCCAAGAATATTAGATGGCATGCGATTAATTAAATAACATGCAGTTAGAACTGCATCACTCCAAAATTGTTTGGGCACATTCGTGTGCAACAACAATGTTCGAGCAATTTCGATTAAATGTCCAATTTTTCTTTCAGCAACTCCATTCTGTTGTGGAGTGTGAGGACAAGAGGACTGATGAATAATACCAGATTTAGTCATAAAGGTATTAAAAGGAGTGGAAAAATATTCTTTCGCATTATCACTGCGAAGTATACGTACAGGCACACCAAATTGATTTTTTATTTCTGTAACAAATGCACAAAAAATGGAATATAATTCTGAACGATCTTTCATTAAATAAAGCCATGTAACTCTGGAAAAATCATCAACAAAAACTACAAAATATTTAAAACCTAACTTTGAAGTGACTCGACTAGGACCCCAAACATCAGAATGAACTAACAAAAATGGTTCAGAAACCCGTTTATTGACTCTAGGAGCAAAAGAAACACGATGATGCTTTCCTAACTGACAAGACTCACATTCTAACGAAGATAATTGACTCAAAGTAGGAACCAACTTTTTCAAATTTTGTAAAGACGGATGACCTAAACGACAGTGAATTTCAAGAGGAGAAACAGTAGCAGGACATGCTATCGGACCATTGAAGTTGAGAAAGTAAAGACCATTATGCTCATGCCCTCCACCAATCGTCCTCTTTGTCTTCAAATCCTGAATGACAACAGAATCAGGAGAAAAAGTAACTGTGCACTGTAGAAATTTAGTGAGCTTACTAACAGACATTAAATTAAAGGGCAAATTGGGTACGTAAAGAACAGAAGACAGCGGAAGTGATGGATTAATTTCTACAGTGCCTAGGCCTTTAACTTTAGTGGTAGATCCATCAGCTAAAGTAACATGAGGAAAGGAAGTAGACTCTTGAAAATTAGAAAAAATTTTAGAGGTACCTGACATATGATCAGTAGCTCCGGAATCAATAATCCATGAGTCATTACCTTTTTGTGCTAAAGAAGCAGAGGGAAGAGATGCGTGATTTGTAGCTTGGTACTGTAGGAATTTAACATAATCTTCCTCAGATATAATAACAGTTTTCTGGGACCCATGTGCTGAAAAACTTGATTCAACTTGGTCAGTGATAACCGTATTAACAAACCTTTCAACCATACCGGATAGCACGTCAAACGAAAGAACAGGTCAAAACTTGAGCCGTGAACAGTAACGGCATGAACAGTAACTGCGTGAACAGTAACGACGTGAACAGTGCCGTAAACAGTATGCGTGTACAGTGCCGCGATGAACAGTGCAGCGTGAACAGTGATTTTGCTAGATGTTTAACCCTAACCCTAGGACTTTTGCTCTGATACCATGTCAACAGGTATCTTGGAAGGAAAACATCTAGTCACTGTATTATGAGTGACCAACTAGTATTTATAAGAGTACAAACCTAACAAACTATTTACAAGAATACCCTTACTAATTTATTATCTACAAGGATACTTATATTTTCTTAACAATAGTAAACAATATATGTGTTACTTTCACGTAATACTAAAGGTGCATCCAAATTTCAGCCAAGTGGACATACATACACATCATGTCATTCCATAAGAATTCAGGTGTGTGCTCATGAATTTACCAATAAATGCAAGTAGAAACCACTAAACCACAAGCCAGGAGCATAACCAGGAGGTCAAATGAAGAACCACGAGACCACAAAAAACAAAAGAATACAACTTCATACAGAAACTCCTAACACCAGTATTTACATGCTCATTGATTGGTTCCAGTACCTTAAGATTATTTAAGAGTGAGATTTATCTTACAAAAGCATTTGCTAGTTGCAGGCAAATGAGGGGCGAAGAGCTTTCTGGTTTGAGTGTCAAAGATCTACAGAACTTGGAGAACCAACTTGAAATGAGCCTTCGAGGTGTCCGTATGAGAAAGGTTTGCGCCTCCTATTTCCTATGACTCATCCAAGTACATCCTTCAGTTGACGTAACATTGAACTATGTAGCTGACAATGATAGCTATGATTTCCTCTTTGTTAATGTAGGACCAAGTGCTTATTGACGAGATACAAGAACTAAACCGGAAGGTAAAATCAGAACTGTGAAAACTAAATTCCTATTCCTGTCGAAAAAATACTGTCAAAGCTAAATCTCATTCACTTTTTTGCAGGGTAGCCTCATCCATCAAGAAAATGTTGAACTGTATAAGAAGGTAAACCTAATTCGTGAAGAAAATCAAGAATTGTACAAGAAGGTATCCCTTAAAGAAACTTTAACCGAATTTCTAAGTGCATTATCACAGAATTTGTTTCAAAATGACCCTTAATAAAAATGCTTTTCATGCCAGGTTTATGGAACCAAGGAGGCGAATGGAACTAACAAAACTGCACTTCTGACAAACAATTTAAGCATTCGAGAAGACCCTGATGGTCCTGTACATCTCCAGCTTAGCCAGCCACAACAAAACTATGAGACGGCAACAGGGGCATCAAAACTGGGGTAACTGTTTATTGGACTTAAATTCTCTTTTAAAATTACCAATTATGTTGTCAATCCAACATTAAACTCAATTTTAAAAAATATTGCAGCAGATTGCAACTCCATTAGTATGAAGAAAATGCTGAGCTGATTGCTTGTTGATGAAGATCCACCATGCATACAACACAATGTTCAATTCGTAAGGAGTGGTGCAAAAACCACATATTACTCAGAAAAAGTCTTCAATTTCATTGAAAGGATCTTGACATATCCGAGGTAATTAATGCTATAGCTGTCTATGTAAGATGGTGAGAAATAAAGAAATACTGCTAATTGCTTGTCTCAGACTTTCTTCAGATATCTTTCTATAGGGCATCTCTACTCAATTGAAAAATGTACACAAGCATCTCTACACAATAACTGGGATCATAAAAAATGTACTTGTATAGGTATCCACTTGAGTAAGATGCACCCTGGCGACAAGAAATGCCATGAAAAGTAGAAAGTACAGGATGAAGCAAGTCAAAGAATTTGATGGACCAAACAGTCAATGAAAAAGTGACAATAGTACACGCAATAAGGTAATATTAGAGAGTAAGTTAAATGTTAAGATTTTCGAATAAATTCTGCAGTATAGCATGGCTAACGTTTCAGCACACAAGAAACTACTATTACACATCTTCAGATCCCTGCAAAACAATCTACTGCAAACCTGTACCAACTCATTTGCAGGCTGGTCAAATCTCATGAACAAAAAGATTGGCATACATGCAACAAACCTAAAGAATAATTTTGTTAAAGGGCAAGGCATACACAAATGTCCACAACCCATTATTGTCTCGATATACTGCAATATGCAACCAAACATGCTCAGACCACACCTATGGAAAAAGAGGATAGGAATACTGCTTGACCATATTTCTAATTCCAACAGGCGCTATTCATTAATTGGGAATGGATAAGGTGCAATATTTAATACAGCTCTTGTGCTAAAAGTGATTTTAAAAACCTAAAGGTCAAAGTTGACACCATTTCAAGAAAACGCATTTAAAGAACAAAAATCACTGCAATAAGGAATCCATCCTCAATCAATCTTGGAGAATGTACTTATTTCCTGTTGTATCAGCAGGTAACTCATTGCGAAACAAATCACGGCCAACCACAGTCTCAAGAACCCATCATGCATTAATATAAGTCATTGAAACCACAACATAAGAAACCTTCATTTATTCAACGCACATTACAGTTCCTAGAACTACAAAACATCTCTCTTATGCATAAAGAATAGCAGACTGATAGTAGTAGGAAATTCATAATGGCTATTTAACACTAGGAAAAGAAAGGAAAATTGCTAGATCTATTTACCAATTTCTATATGTAGATTTTCATCACATGAATCGCGTTAACATCCTGGAAGAGAAGTTGATTGAAGCATCTAAGGAAGAATTAAGGTTTTCATGGGATTAATCCTTTATACACTGATAGTGTATACACTATCAAGCCTGGATGCATGACAACTAACTTTAATTTGAATTTAAAACCCCAAGTTTTGCACACGTGGCATGCATCCAAGTCCAATAGTGTATAAACTATCAGCATATAGAAGATTAATCCATTTTCAAGGCGAAGTACTAGAAATGGACTACTAGCTAAAAAGAGGCTCCATTTCTGAAATTGTTTTTGGTTGGCTTCAAAACAATCATGATGGAAAGCCTCTTTTAGAAACTTTAATTACTACTACAGCCGTATTTAGCAATTGATCAACAGCAACATAAACAACAGTGAAAGATTAGCAGGTTATCTTCATGAACTGAAAGAACTTCAATAAGCTTACACTTACCAGTATGCATAGTTTTTAGCAATAGTAGTCTTCAAAATAAGAAGATTCTATGCTATAACTAATGATCTAATATTCAAATGAAAACAATTAGTTCACATTAAAGTACATTGTTACTGTTAAAGTGCCAGTAGCACAAACATAAAGTTGGCATCATTCCTAAGCCCAATGCATCTACGGTTGCTATGCACCAAATGTATAGAACTACTCTACTATATCAATGCAATTTATCAGTCTTGATCTCACAGTAAGTATCATCTTTTTTTAATTTTTCTTTCAGTCAACAATAGCATGTTTAATCATGCAGAACCAATATCACTAAACCCTTGATCAACATGTTCACCCCTGTGAAACACACAAATTCCATTGCCTTTTAGGACTCATGAGGAAAATAATACATCTAAAGTCATCTCTTTTTCTCATTTTCCATAAAATATTCTCATGTGCAAGCAAAAGGCCGTCTTAAGACATGCCTTGCTGCCAATTACATGGCTATATATTTCCTTCGTGTCATTTCCTTCTGCAAGATTCAATTGGTAAAGAAATACTTTTTCGGGAACATTGAGAACACACAAACTACTTTGATGTTTAGAGTAAACCTCACGTGTATAGAAGTCAGAACGAAGTTAAATCCACATAATTAAACGATCATATATTTGTTGAATCTCAAACACAACTGCAGATTTTTTCCCCTTCCTAAGAATAAAAGAGACAGAGAAATGAGAAGGTCAAACAGAAAACTGAAGGCAGTGAAACCCAGAAAAGGAAGGAGACACAAGTGAAACACTATGAAATCCAAAGCTCGGTTCACTAATAGTATGTGCTAAAGTCATTTCATGGACCTCTGAGCTTTTGCAATATATTCAAGAGAAAAATCTACACACTAATATTGAGCATCCATGCAAGACTTAGACAAGATCTTTCCATGCTAAATGGTCATATCTGCAATCTCAAGACTAAACAAACTTTCTTTCCAAAAATTGCAGGATTTGCAATACTAACAAGAGAATATTATGGAGCGTTGCACCAATTTCCAGTCCACAGCAGAAGCGGTTACCCCATAGTTCACTTGAAGACGTAGAATAAAGATGATTCATTTGCAGCCTGTTTAATTGATGGTGTACAACAGGAGAACCCACACATACAAGGCTCTTGCTACTACATGATCTATGTAAAAGCTCAAGTTCTAAAATGCTATATCAGACGTTTAATAAAAAACGCAAATATGTAGAGAAAGGCCAGACATTTCATTCTTGTCCAATGAATACACGAGATCTCTTCTTTACGATTCTCATATGTGTAAGACTCACAAGTTATATTTGGCATCTATACAGTGCAATCCATTTTGGCATTTTCTGTTTCTATTACTCTGCAGTCTGTTTACTGTTCTATCTGTTAAGAATCCAAATTTCAAAATGGTAAAAAAAATATGAAATTCAACAAACAGGTAGCCAGTCTCACGTGACCAGGGATAGATTCACATCGGCATCTATGTAGTGCAAGCCATTTTCCATCCCTGGTACTATACTGTCGGCTTACTGTACCTTTATCTATCAATTATCTGAATTTTAAAAATGCATCATCCATTCTCACATAAGCATGCAACAGGAAAAAGGTAAGGTTAGAACAAATATATCATTGGGGAAAAGAAACTACAAATTCATTGATCCATGCCAGATACAGAAACAGTCTGCCCTGAAACAATCTTAGAGCTACAAGAATAACACAGCATTTATATGCTCAAATAATCTACAACAAATAACAAACTATTGCAATGCCACTAGGCCGCTAAGGTGAATACACATGAATCAACTGGCCAATTACAAGAAGCAAAACTTTTATGCGGAGAAAAGCAGGAATTCTATCAGGATATAAATCTTCATTAAAATGTGTCCACCAAACCATGATATCCTAACCAAGTGAAAAAGAGGAATTTTCAAGCCAGTGATATTGAGTTACCCATCAAAATATTCAAAGACAAAGAAAGTCATAAAATGAAATAAGAAACTTAAAGCCTCTTCAGTAATTCCACAATCAATACATCCATCTGGAATTAGCAACAACAAATGCAAGCTTAAGCATTTCTCTTAACAATAATCAAACCCCCCCACCCCCCCCCCAAAAAAAAAGAAAAAGAAAACACAAGTCCCCAATTGAATATATCTCTTTGTTTCATGGGATGCCTTCAGGTAATGACCTTTCTCCTTAAAAAAGAACCCATCTAATTACCAGTATATAACTTCTAAAGACCACACAACTTCTGCAATTCAAATCCTCTTTGATACTATCAATTCCAAAAGTTATATGGTTCCACAAGATTTAGACTATCTAATTTACAATGCCACACCTTTAACTTGCTTAAAAGTTGAATCGAGACAACACACAACCTTGGATAGTCATATAGTCCTCTATGCCTTAAAAAAGATAAATCTAATCCTGTATGCATGACCTTAGGATGATCTGAGATGCCTACTATTAAATTATCTTATGTCAACATAGGTCCAAATGGAATTTCTTTTTCCACAAACGAGTTGATTGAGTTTTCCAAGCTCATTCACTTTATTCTTTGACTATCAGGCCTTTCAACATTTCACTTTATCCACTTTAACCATATCAATATCATATATCAATTACACGGTTAGCCAAACCATGGATTTTAAATGAAATTGGTTATTTAGCTAATGCAAGACATGCTCCATTATTCTTGACATATGAACGTGTTTCCCGAAATTATGGTATTAACATATCAAAGACATGGCAGATCAAGTTTCAGTATCAAAACAAGCTATAATACTTACTACTGGAAATTCTATGAATGCACCTAAATAGGTTTCCGACAATGGACATAGTTTTATTTTGAATTTGAAGATTAACAAAAATGCCATAGTATTTGAATAGGAGGCTAAACAACTCAAAATATGACATATGAACGTGTTTCCCGAATTATGGTATTAACATATCAAAGACATGGCAGATCAAGTTTCAGTATCAAAACAAGCTATAATACTTACTACTGAAAATTCTATGAATGCACATAAATAGGTTTCTGACAATGGACATAGTTTTATTTTGAATTTGAAAATTAACAAAAATGCCATAGTATTTGAATAGGAGGCTAAACAACTCAAAATCTTCTTTACCACTGGGGTTTAAGATGCCACATTCGTTCAAAAATCAATGGTTTGGCTAATCTCAAACTTTTGGAAAATGAGCATGTCAAACTTGTATACAACCAAATCTCCCCAGAAACTGTCTCCTATTTTGCAAGTTCCTAACTTCAATTAAGCAAGCATCTGAAGAGTTCAACTTAGACAAAAAATCTAGGAAGCATTTCCCGGAATGTTTACTATACAATAGTGTTGGGTGCTATTGGAATCTCCCATCCCAAAAGCTAGCTCAAGGGTGAGGCTTTCCTCACACTTATAACCTAACACCTGCCCCTTCCACAATCAATGTGGGATAAACAAAAAAAAAAAAAAAATTGTCCTTGATTACCAAACTTCTCAAAGGTTTTTGTCCTTCATAGTTTACTGGGACTAAGAAAATCAGTTGCCCTTGCATCAAAGCCTTATATCGCAGATGATTGTACACCAACTTTATCAATTCCACTCAGCTTACATCACACATATGAGTTTCAAATAGAATTTTTAGTTAATTACAAATTTTGCCCCTTCAAATCTCGTTTTGAATAATTTCACTTGACTACAACTTTTCCTCTTTACAACTCCCTAATAAGAGCATGTTCTACATGATTCATGGCTTGTTCTCAACAATTTATGCTTTTTTAAGCCGATTATTAAAAAGCTGACAAGTGAAAAGCAAAAAGCAATCACAAAGCACCTCAATGGCCACTTCTTATAATCCACCTATTTCAACTTGGAATAAGATAAAATCAAAAACCAAAGCCACCATCAGTTGAGAACACTGCAAAACAACTTTTAGCTTATAAAAAGCTGCAATTAACTGATTTTACTTATTGAGACGAGCACTAAGTAATGTTGATCTATAAGAACAACCGAACTTTATCTCAAAGAGCTAATTTCTATCATAATCCAATGAAAAGAGATTAAAAAACCATCTAATTCTTCATAAACATGGATAAAATGCTTTCACATTAGTTATATCCAACACTTTCACTACCTTCCAAGTATGGCTCAAGAACTTTTTTTCCAGCATACTGCACTAGGCTGATTTGACTCGAACCAAAAATGGCATTAACCTAAATGCATCCATTCTAACATATTGTAAATACTTCTGCAACCAAACAAAGCTATTTGGAATTACTCCACTTCCTGCTAGCTTAATAGCAATCAATTAATCAATCCATCCTAAATTGAACACATTTGTCCAATTACAAGTCATCCTTAGTGAATGGCCTAAAAACTTACTCTGCACATAACTAGCAAATAGCTTATGGAACATGACAGTATCCCCCCTTTTATCTCCTTTTTAACATTATGTGAAACCAACATGATTCCTGCACTCTACTGTTCATATCGCACATTCAACTCACCTTAAAAGTTATTCAAATTCCAAAATCAAAAGAAAACATTGTATTTGAGATACAGAAATCAATCAGAAACATTTTAAGGCAGTGATACCTTTTGTACAAAAAAAAAGTTGCAAGGACCTGAATTACAACATTCAGAAAAAAAAAAAAAAAAACTAAACTTATTGTCGATGAGTGCACCTACTGAATCTCTTATAAGCAACTTTGTTTGCAAAACAATGTAAACAAGAAAAATTCATTCTTAAAGTTAGATGAATCCATAGCTATACTTATAACTATGTCATGTCAGTGCTTGACAATTCGCATGTGGATTTGGATTAGTTAGGCTATAATGTGTTAACATGTCCAAACGGTAGTAATAACTACATTTAGGCAAGAGTTGGGTGTATAAACAACAATTTGCTCAATTTATGCATTCATTTTTACATACATTCATTTTTACATAAAAATTCTGCTAACTTTTTAAGATTCATTTTCAACAATTTTCAAGTGCTCTATTCTTGGAAAACTTAACCACCGAATAACATTTTGGATAAGTTGCAATGCCCGTGGAATTACAACCTCGAAATTATCTGCAAAATTATTCAAGCATGACTATCTAATGGTTCTAACATATATCAAGGGCTTATCAAAAGAAGATGGGTTCTGAATAAGATTCAATTACAAGGATAAGAGATCTAATTATACTGCCATCCAACAAGAAAAAGAAGAGGTTCAAAATACAAAAGAGAAGATTTGAATACTCTATTGAAGAAGGATTGATTTAAGTGGGAATTTGAAGGAAACAGGTGATGACTAATTCATGGACTGTAATATGTGTTTAAGGAAATATAAGGAAGACGGTGATGAATAAATCTTGGACTATAATATGTGTCTCACTTGAAAAGTAGACTTGAACAATAATTCATGTACAGGCGGTAGGCGAGGTGGGGAGACCAGTAACAACCAGAAAAAAATATCAAAACCACGAAAGCCTCTAGCGAAGGAAAGGAAATGGATGTATGGCTTTACTATCAATTTGAGTACCTGAGATAAAAGTATATAAGGGGATAAAAAACTAAAAAAGAGTTGTCGGTAGCTGGATGTTATCGATAATATAAGCACAAAACAACAACTTGAAATGGCACAATACATGTTACATATGTTGACAGCTTGATGCAAGAAATGAAAAGTTAAAACATGTACATCCTGAGCCCCACGAACTAAACAAAAAATACCAAATAGAACATGATGCAATTATCAGTAAAACGGCCAGGACATCAAATACCGTCCAGCAAAAGAAACAACAATAAAAAAACAAAATAAGGAAAAATGGTATCCATGCAATAACAAACATGAGGCCATCGTAGATTTAACCAAGAATGCTAAACAGGCCGTGGTATTAATTACTAGTACTACAGCCACAGTGATAAGCAAGCAAGAATTGACACTAATCAACTCACTTGATTGCTAAAAAGATGATAAAAAAAAAAGGCTTTTTAATCAGTGACCAAGCTAAAGTTTCATACACGAAATGTAGTAGTAGAATTATGGGCAATAATCGGTAAACATACCTGAGGCTGAAAATAAAAAGAATCCGTGCATAGAATGACCAAGATTGAATTTTTATCAATGGTTTTTAGCATCTCCTGATCTGCAAGGAATTTTCCGAAAGAAAACATCAAAGAAATGGAAATATAAATTAGAAAGGAAAAGAAAAAGATTCTCATGGACAACTTGCACTGTATTTTATTCCTAAACAACCATAACGGCCTTCCCACAGACCCACACCCAAAATGCAAACTTCCTTTCGGATGAAGTTTAAAACTCCAGTTGGCTTCCCAGAAAGGTCATACAAGTAGAAATAATCCATAAACATGGAAGGCCATTTGGGTTTTCACCTCAGCAAAAGGCATCAAAGACATGCAATTTATGGAGCGATTTGAAGATATGAAGTATGCCTTTAAACTGTCAAAGACTGCTAATCAAGAATCCAGCAAAGGAGGAGTTTGAGTTTGGACTCTGAAGAGATCAGAGATGAATGAAAGGCGATATAATTGTTCTGGGCTGGGGTGTTTCTCGAGGAGAGACAGGGAATATGAATACCTAAAAGTTGATGTTGAAACAGAAAGGTGTGTGAGATGAGGAGAATAGCGGGGATTGGTGGGGGCCTGGAAAATATCTGGAGGCAGGAGAAAGTGGGATTTATATAGGGTGTGATTAGAGGAGATGGGATGTGCCCATGATTGGTGGGGTTAATAGTCTGGACTAATTTAACAAAAAAAATTAGAGTGTTAATGATCTAAATTTGTCTGGAAGTTCATACCTGAAGATTTTTTGGTAAGAGCAAAGGTGGTTTAAAGTGGAAACACATCATTCATTCACTAGAATAACGTGTCAGGACTACTAGATCTTGATTAA